CGGCGCGCGTCCCGTGCAGGCGTTCCGCGTGGACGTGATCCGTGAGGAGGAGGGCGCGCTGGAGTTCGACATGGTGGGCATCGACGCCGCCATCGCCAACGCCTTCCGCCGCATCCTGCTCGCTGAGGTACCGGTGTGGGTGCGTGGGGCGGGGAAGGGACCGAGGGTCGCCGAGGCGCTGCGGGGGCCCGCGGGTGCCGGCCTAGGAGCAGGGGGCCGAGGGTGGTGGGGAGGGTCCTGCCTGATGCCAGCCCTCGCAGGCAGCTTCTGGGTTTGGAAGAGAAGCGCAAATTCGTTCTGCACGTGCGCCAGGAGCCTCAAGAGAGTTAAGGCCTTAGCAGCACAAGCGATAGTGCTTGTTGCTCTTAAGGGTGCTGTTGGTAGTGTTTGTGGGTCAACCTGCCCTTCACGTCTTGTGATTGTTTGTTTACAACAGGAAGGGGGTATACTGGGTGTAAGAGTATACTGGGTAGCCTGGTTTGGCAGAAACGCCACTGAAAATATTTATGGGAGAGAAGGGACACCTTAGCTGGATGTTCTGTAGACACGTACTTCAACTGTCATCTTATGCTGACTTGATCTTGTCTCCCTGAGGTGCCAACGATGGCTGTAGAGAAAGTCTTTGTGTACAACAACACATCCATTGTGCAGGATGAAATTCTGGCTCATCGCTTGGGCCTCATCCCTATCCGAGCTGACCCTCGACTCTTTGAATATAGAAACCAAGGTGAGAGTATTGGATCAAATAGAAATATTGAAGGTTTTCCCCAAAGCAGGAAATCAAGGTCACGTAAACTGAGCAGAAGTGTGATTCCATAGACGCTCATGCTGTTCTCCCCTTCCCAGGAGATGAAGAAGGCACAGAAATTGATACTCTGCAGTTCCAGCTGAAAATAAAATGCAGCCGAAACCCTCAGGCAGCCAAGGAATCATCTGATCCTAATGAACTATATTTCAATCACAAAGGTGAGATCGCTCCTAAACATAGGTGCGCTGGTTTTTTCTTTTTTGGTCTTGGGAGACAGGATTCATTCTGTTCTCTCAGCCCTGTGAGCAGAGTGAGCCAATTCCCTCATTCTGCTAAACTTACTTTTTGCCATCTCCATTCCTGTACATGTCAACAACCTGTTTTGAGACAACAGTGGACTGATGCTTGTGGCTTCTCTTTGCAGTGTACAGTAAACATATGACATGGGTGCCCTTGGGGAATCAGACAGACCTCTTTCCAGATGCTGACTTCCGACCTGTTCACGATGACATCCTTATTGCACTGTTGCGACCTGGCCAGGAGATAGATGTGCTTATGCACTGTGTCAAGGGTATAGGTGAGTCATGGGTCCTGGGGCAGTGGGAGGAAGAGCCTAAGTGCTTGGACTAGGGCACAGTTTTGTGAAGGGGAAGGGTGGAGAACTGGCTTTCCCCTGAAACTTCAGGCTGTAGTTCTTGCATTTTCGTTCCCTGAGGCCTGCGCTCATCCTTGACTCTTAACTCTTCGTGCAGGTAAAGATCATGCCAAGTTTTCTCCTGTGGCCACAGCTAGTTATCGACTGCTTCCTGACATTACTCTCCTGCAGCCTATTGAGGATGAGGCAGCTGAGTTGTTGCAGAAGTGCTTTTCCCCTGGAGTCATTGAGATCCAGAATATCAAGGGTACTTTTCCCCTGCTCTTAAGCACCTTGTTCGTTACAAGCCTTAACAGAGACTGATTAGAGACTAGAGCCAAACCCTGTAGAGGCAAAACCATGTTGTGATGTTGCCTTGCTGATCAGCAGCTGTTCATGCTATTCTAAGCCTTGTGTTATGGATGAGTGGCTGTCACATGCAGATGTGTTGGGTGATGAACTGGGACCTCCCTGAAATGCTAAGGCATTGGGTGACTGTTTGCAGAGCTCTGCAGCTACTGACTGCAGCTTCCAGTGCTGTTCAGCTGTCTGTAAGTCTGGGCAGCAAGGTTGCTCTTTGCAGCACCTCAGCGTGGAGAAGGCTTCTTGGGTCCTGTCCAGGAATACGTACAAGCTTTGTGTTTGGGTTGGAACTGTTCAAGAAGACCAGTTCTGTCAAGTTGGAGCTTCGTGTTGGGGATGTGCTAGTTCTTTATATTGGTAACTTCACTGCCTTTGCTGATGGGGGAGTGCATATTTGAGATGTAAGCACGTGCTGTGATGACAAGGGCCCATCTCATTTCACCTTTTCTCCTTTAGGAAAAAAGGTGGCAAGAGTAGCCAATGCACGGCTGGACACATTCAGCAGAGAAGTTTTCCGTCATGACGGTCTGAAAAACCTTGTTCGCCTGGCGAGAGTACGAAACCATTACATCTGTAAGCGCCTCATTTTCCACGGAACATAGAGCCCTGCTGTGGTTTGTGCAAACAAGCAGAGACCGGCCAGCATTGTATAGCTGGGTCTCGGCCCCCACCCCTTCCCCCCACATCGTCAGCATTCATATGTTCATTTTCCAGTGTATACTTAGGTTGTGGTTTGGTGTTGCTTTGGGGTTGAATGTGTTTGTGCTTCCTGCTGGCAAATGTAACCTCTTCTCCTCTGGCTGTGAGGATCTGGCTTGTCAGAAGTGTGGTGTAAGGGAAGATGAGGGACAGAAATGCTGGAGCCAGGTGTAGGCTGCAGCTGCCCAGTGGCTGTGCTGACTTGTGTCTCTGTGCAGTTTCAGTGGAGTCGACGGGTATCTTACCTCCAGATGTGCTGGTGAGCGAAGCCATCAAGATCCTGATGGGAAAGTGTCAGCGCTTCCTGAATGAGCTGGACTCTGTGCCTATGGAGTGACCAGGCTGTAGCTGGGAAGCATATCCCTGCACTGCTGTTCTGGGCTTCCCGCACCTGCCTGCAGGGGTGATTCCTCTTCCATAGACAAGAGGTTTGAGATGGGCTTGTTAAGAGTCCTAGGACCATCTCTTGGAATTTTTTTCCGTTGGTAATGAGCCTCAGTGAGGAGATGCACTAAAATAAAGACTTTTCTTTACAGCTGTCTCCTTCTGTGCTGTTGACACTTGTGAGACCATAATACACAGAGAAGAAAGTGGCAGAAGGTCTAAAGCTGAATAACAGTATTTGGTTTAGATTGTACGTATTATGTGAAGAGGACTGATGTGGCAGTGTAGCAAAGCACTTTACAGCAGGTCAGTGAGGCTTAACAAGTCAGTATCAGTGCAGCACTGTTTTCCAGGTGTCCCAAACCAGCTCCAGGGTAGTTAATGTGGTAGATAAAAAGCTGTACTGCCAGAGGGCTGGGATACCTGTCCTATGAAGAAAGGCTGAGAGTTGGTGGTGTTCAGCCTGGAGAAGAGAAGGCTACAGGGAGACCTTATTGTGGCCTTTGATTATATAAAGGAGGCATGGAGAAAGACTTTTTATCAGGGCCTGTAGTGACAGGACAAGAGACAACGGTTTTAAACTGGCAGAGGGGAGACTCAGATGGGACTTAAGACACTTTTTACAATGAGGGTGGTGGTGAGATTCTGGAAGAGGTTGCCCAGAGAAGTTGTGGATGCCCCTGTTCCTGGAAATGTTGAAGGTCAGGTTGGACTGGGCTTTGAGCAACCTGATCTAGTGAAACATGTCCCTGCTCACAGCAGGGAGGTTGGACTGGATGGTCTTTGACAGTCCCTTCCAGCCCAAACGATTCTATGATGCAAGTACTGGGCTTCCCTGTGCAAAGGTGGGGTTTAAAAACATGCTCTGTAAGGACTTACTATCCCTTCTTAAATATCTCAAGGTAAGTCATTTCTTCCCAGGTGTTAAATTTGACTACTCTGTTCTCCCTTTCAGCGACTGAATGTACTTTGGGCTGACCTTGACGCAGAACCGGATGGTGGAGGGCAAGTGACAGTCAAAGGCCTGTTTCTACTCAGGGAAGTCTGGGAGAACTTGCAGGTTAGCCTCAGTGGTGAGCACTACTTTTAGCACTGGGTAGGTCGTGGCTTGTGAAAGTCTCTCTTGACAAGCTGACGAAGCAACTGGAACTTCAGAGAATGGCTTGGAGTACTGGTGTGTCCCAGTTGCTTAAGTTAACCCTCACTCCCAATGCTAGAATTTAGTGTAGCAAATTGTATTTTTTCTATCCCAGTTTCACTGGGATATAGTTACTTACACTGTAAATATCCTTACAAGTGTTAGGGTAGATATGCTGTAGGGAAGAGGTACGCTTGGCATCCAGGCTACAATCCCAGCCTGTCCTATGTCACTCTACTGTGTTGCAGACCCATGCCCTGCTTCCAGATTTTTTTTTTCCAAGATAGCTGGTAATTGGTTGCTGGGGAAAGTGGCTGCTTTCCTGTCAGGGCAGTTCTGGGACCTGTCAGTGTTTCACAGCTGTACTTGCTGACTCTTGCACCTCCTGTTTCAGCAGGCTTGCAGAGACCTTGGCTTCTGAGTCTATCCCACAGGCTCTCATTTGTGCACTTACTTACCCTTAGAAGGGAGCATTGGGAACCCAAGAACTAGGCCCAAGTGCTGTAGTCTATACTGTCTGGTTTAGAGCTCCTAACAGCCTTAGCCAAGGTACCTCCCTAGAGCTTTTGGCTTGCTTAAAACTTTAAAGACAGCTCAGCTGTGCCATACCTGCCTTACATGTGTGAGGAACACAGGGTGTAGTACCAATGCCAGCATAAGCATAGAAACTTTCAGTCTGGACAGTGGATAGTTCCTAATAAAACAATTTAGGTAATAATACCATTTGAAAACTGGACCTAGCTGGATCTTCTCAGTTTAAACAAGCTAAAGCAGCTTCCATCCTGAGCTGGATTAGAGCTGGGGCTTTGGAAATTTATTTTTTTTTTAGTTACAAAAACTTACACTGATGTTACCGAAGCCTTCTGCTTTTGTTGAGAGACCTTTCATGTAACCTTCATCAGCTGAGGGGACAGACCAAAGGCAACAGTGACATCACCTTCCTGTGTTACTGAATATAGTTACATAGTTATGGCTAAATTATGGTCCTATCACAAGATATTGCTCCTCCCAGCAATGGCTAGAGTTGGACTTGGAGGCCTCTTTAGTAGCACTGTACCTTTCTGTGCTCTTGCTCTGCCTATTTTCCATATTGCTTACAGGACATACCCTGGAATAGCCATGTGTCATGGTTTGATGGTGGGGGGGGAATCTGGTGGCAGGAGAGGGGCTTTGCTCCCTGTGACCTCCCTGGTTTTGGAACCGGGTCAGACCTGGTTCTGGCCACCAGATCAGAACTCCCATCCCCCTCAGGGTTGAGCCAATCGGCACCTCTGCAAATTGCCCTATTTAAGACGGGACAAAGGAACCGGAAAAAAAAAAAAGCTGCTTTGCCCAGGAGAGAAGGGAGGAGGGTACTGCTCCCCCTCCCTGGCTCCCGGG